TTTGGAAAATTGTTAAAAATAATATATAATTAAAATTTTTGTTTTTCTTCGATTTAAAGTTCGATTTGGATAAGATCGTATAGTTAGAACCTGTCTATTCACCATATCGAGCCCTTCAGCAGGCAGAAGGCATGATACAACGCATATGGTGTTCGTCGAAAAGGAACCATAGGGGGTTGGTGAGCAAACTGGAAATTGGAAAACAAGGGTACTCTGGTGTAATACAAGTTTACTAGGAAATTACTTGCGTTCTCGTTACGGGTTGTTGCAGCTGAGACCTGGTCATGCTGTATTTACAAGCCTGCACGTTACACGAGAAATGCATCAGAGAGAACCACTTATAAAATTTCAACTTTGACACGTGTAAAATATGAACTCTGTGTGCACCTGTACGTGTACTCTTTGAACTAGACATCAAAGACACTCTTTGCTTTGCGTTCACAATCTTTACATTCAAGTTCAAATATCGTGTACCATATGTATTGTAATACAAAATTTTACATTTAATTTGAAATGAAAAATCTTCACGTTTACTTTTATCACAGAAAGTTATTTTTGAATTGTTTTATACCTACACTTTACACAAAAACGTTGAATGAAGAAATTGTTAGTCTAACATCTAAACAAATTCCAGTATTTAAATTCTTATTTCAATTATTCTTAAACGATCGATATTTTTCCCCAAGTCTCTAATGAAAAATTGCACCTTTTATACATATTTCATTCTACACTTTCCTTTGAAATCATCAAATTCTTCGATTATTCGTTCACTTTTCAAAAAATACAAGATCTACCTAAAGCTAAAACTATTTAAGTTTTACTGCAAAGAGCTATTTAACTTCAATCTATTCGATCTTTCTTTCTCGTCAAGTTCGTCCATTACTCGATCATTTCTCAAAAAATTCAAGATATACGAATCCAACAAAATAATGATAAGATATCAACGAAAAGCTAACATTATTCGAGCCTTACTGCAAAGGGTCATTTAAATCTATTCAATTTATTCAGTATATTTGATCTTTTCCTCTCATCAAGTTCTTCAGTTACTCGATCATTTCTCACAAAACCAAAAGAAAGATGAATCCAGCACGAAATCATGATAAGGTATCAACTGAACACTAACATTACTCGAATCTTCCTGCGAAGAGCCATTAAACTTCAATCTAACGAAACGATTCAATTTATTCGATCTTCACCTCTTCGATTTCGATCACGAAACCTTCGAGTTCCCTTTAATGGGACGAATCCTCGAGGCCTGGCCGCGCACGGCGATCAGTCGCATCGAAAGTTGGCCAAAGTGTCTGGTTTTGGCCGCCTTAACGCGCGGGACACGTCATTGACTTGGAATCGATTTGTCTCGCACGTCTGCACGAAAATTAACGGCAGATGTGCTCGTGCGACATAACGGGTGTACGGGCGTCCCTGATCGAAACCGGCAGCCCTGTTTTCTCATTTCTCAATGTTCATGGAAGAGGAGTGAATAGAATCCGTAATGGAGCGGCCTCTGTCCCGGCACTTTGTCGTTTTCGGGCTTCTATACCACGGCAAATGAACAGTTTTGTAGAGCTAGGTACACAGAACACCGTCTGCCGATGTTTCGAAAATGAACGGGCGTTGTTCGCCCGCTCGCGTGTATACACGCGACCCTGATGCATACACGCGAATTCCCCCGATTGTTCCTCCTCCGCTTTCAATTGTTCAAACGATCCAGTTGAAGGAAGCTGAATTTAGTGTAACTGAATGCGAGTGATTGTTTCAGGATTTGATCAATTTTAGACGATTTGTTTGCATTCGATACGATGGAATAAACATAGGTTAGTCAGTTTCTTCGTGGCGATAGATTTTGAACTTTTATCTCAGCACTATATACACGTGTCTCACACGTGCTCAATTAGTTCTCGAGAAAGTGCAATTTTTTAAATTATTTTCTTTCATTTTCTATATTGCGCTGTTTTTTCTATTCTGTGGCGAAAATGTAAGTTGTAGAATTATATGTAAATGGGCAATTTATTTCTACTCATCTAGGAAATAATTAAAATTGAAATGAAACATTAAGTTGAGAAAAATTTGAGTATCAATGGGTTAAGAGATTTATGAGAAACCATAAATGAATGGTACTTTGGAAAAATTTTCAAGAATAGACATATTAGGTGTAGAAAGTTTTATTTAAACAGATTGAAAACAGATCGAAATAATTTCTACTATTTTTGGTGACTTTTTGCCATTTTTCTGGCAGCTTGCGAATACAGTAAATTCTCCACAAGTGTCAGACAGTTTGGATTCTACAAGTGTCTCAGTATAAATGGTCCTACGCCTAGGTTGCGCCTATGTTATCTCGCTCGCTGTCAGTCAACAGCTCGAGATTTCACGGCTGGACAATTCATAATAGAAAAATATAATTTCTTAAATTTTTTTCATTTGAAATTTTTTTTAACATGTTGCTGAGATTTTTCTGATGAAAATGATATCAAACACGATATAATTTGAACAACATTCACGCCAGACAGTGAACGTGTTAATAAGTAAATGTTGTTCAAATTATGTCGTGTTTGATGTCATTTTCATCAGAAAAATCTCATCAATATGTTAAGAAAAATTTCGGGATAAAAAAACGTAAAATTAAAAAAGTTGGTATTTAAATCGCTTGGTTGCCTCGACTCACGTTTCATCCTTATCTTTTATTCGCTGTCCTTGACTACGTTCGGCAAACTACAAAGGCGGGCGCGAGGCTCGAAAACGTAGTCCCTGACTCTACAAGTGTCAGGTTTAGGTTCCTTGCGGACTGACACTTGTAGAGAATTTACTGTACTTCGGCTTTGAAAAAATTGAAATGAAATAAAATGAAAGAATTCTTTTCTACACCCAATAAAAAAAGTAATTCCATTTCACATACTAATTTCCTCAATTATTTACTTGGAAAAAATCTCATCCACTGCTAATACCAAAAAGTATTCTCTTCCAAATTGAAAATACTACTTACTAGCAAACCTCATTTCCATCTCTAATATCAAAAACAAACATTTCACAAGAATCACACAAAATAAACTCTACACTTTAACGCACACAATATATTGTAATTACTAAAACCACCAAACTAATCCATTACCATAAACTTCGCCAACCAACAACGCTCATTTACCCGACCAATTCCACATTCACTCGATTCAACATATTTCCATTAGCAGTAAACACTTCAATCTATTTCCCAACATTTCCCATTACCCACAAAACAATCCCCTGTCTCTCCGACAGATTTCACGATCAAATTTTCCACTGTCGTTTAGACCCGTGATTACGCTTAGTTTCACCTTTCATCCACGCGCCTCTATTCGAACATGAAACTCTCAGGTAGAGACATTCGACAGCTGTGCCAGTCGCGATACATACCTTGAAAACGTGTGTTGCACACACGAGAAACTTGGAAATTTCGACACCCGTTTCCTCCTAGCGTGAAAAGGAGAGAGAAAGAGGGAGAGAGATCCTTGCGTAGCGAAATACGCAGCACAGAAGGGTGGACGCGTTTATTTTCGTTTCGATTTCAAGGAACGGTCGGCGCACGTAGACACAGCTAATTGGAGCTTCCTTTCGTTTCCTCGCGACGATTCGAGGGTATTTCTGGAATGCTGTGGACGTGTAAGTGGCTGAAATCGTCCACGTTTCTCCTCACCGCCGCGTTTCCTTCTGTTTGATGTCACGGGCGAGGTTTGCGAAACCCGATGGAACATCGTTGGCAAATACGCGCAATCAATTTCACGGACCGCTGCTTTAGCAAGTTAATCGAGCTGTTGAACGGCAGAGTAGGTGCGATTTGGTGAACTTGATAAGTTGACGCGTTTGTGGTGCCAGTTTAGATTGTTAGAGTTGTTGGTTTTAAGTTTTCAACGTATGTTTCCGGCGGCGTATGCACCACGAAAAGCGTGAAGTAGCCGCTGGAAATGGTAAATTTAACGTTTCAATTCGATTCTTCAGGTATCTCTTTGTTTTTAATATTCCAGTTCGATTTTTTACCGGAGTAATGAATATTTAGAATGAAGTCGAAAGGGTTGAAGGATTTGAATGTGTGAAATAGTTACAGGGACTAGTAAATTTAATTGTCCAATTCAATTCTTCACTTTAGTAATCAGTTTTTAGAACACTATAACTCAGGGATCTCTTATTTGTAATTTTATGTGTTCATTAACACATATTAAACACGCATAGTACGTAATATTGGCATTTGTAAGAAATGAAGATCTAACTTAATTTTATCCTTAGTTTCTCCTTTGCTCACTTCCTTGTAAAATTTTTACAAATTTGAAATTTCTTAGTTTTACAAATTTCAAACTTTCACACGGTCGAAATCGAATATTCTGCGGCTACGATTGAACATCTAACGTCCGCCACACGCGTTACGTCTTAAACTCTGCCGCAGCGAAAGGGTTAAATCACATTTGAATACAGCACAAATAGTAACTTAAGTTCCTTCGCTTGAAATCAACCTAATCGAAATACAATTTCGCAGAGGTAGACGTATCGTCTGAATAACAGATAACTTAGGCTAACAACCAAGTTTTATGTCGTACACTAACCGCTTCGTTGAACGATAAAAGACTGTTGAGTAACCGATCACTTTAATTATTTTACACAACGTGTATCTGCTTCGTGCGGAAATGTTACAGTATATACACCCTATCGAAGTTTAACCACTCCGGCGATGTTACTATAAGCTGTTATTATTCCCGCTAGGTTGTACGATATCATTGATATACATTTTCCTTTTTGCTGCCCAGGGCATCTGTCCAGGAAATCGATTGAGACTCCTGGTTGGCCAATATGATACAGGGGGTTGTTTGGTTGGCAGCAGGCCTGACCTAACCATTTCTGAAGACGGTGTACAGAGGCATGGAAAACGGCGTAGCTGGCACGTCCAACCGAACAGGGTGAGTTATCTGCGATACGATCCCATTATTAAATTCATGGGGCACAGAAAATTTCTGTACTATGCGTACGTGTATCTCGTTTTCTCTGCGAGCGTTTGCAAGTTTTACGGGAAATTATGGTATACGGTAGTAGGCATTTGTAAATGAAACGTGAAATGAAAGTCTGGTAATGGGATAAAATTGAATGAAATTAGTATAGGTTAGTGTAAATTATAATTTACGATATTTGGTATAAATTCGATGAGAAGATATATGGTGCACAATTTTGAAAATTAGTGATAAGTGTTTGTTGATTGCACCGTTTCGTTGCAGACGTGTGAACCTTTAACTGGGAATTTTAAATAGTGAAATTAAGTTAGGTACAATTTTGTTTTCATTCAAAGTATCAATTTTCAGTTATTTTGATTGCTGATAAAGAAAAGAAAATTTAAACAAAGCGAAATCTAAGGAAATGCATGAAAAACAGCACTACTAATAGGAATAAGGGATTTTAAATAATGAAATTAAATTACGCACAATTTTATTTTCATTTAAAGTATCAATTTTTGACTATTTTGGTTGCTGACAAAGAAAAATTGTACTGAAACAAAGCACGCGAAAAATGACATCTAAGGGAATGCATGAAAACAGCACTACCAATAGGAATCAGGAATTTTAAATAGTGAAATTAAATAAGGTACAACATTATTTTCACTTACAGTATTAATTTTTAATTATTTTCACTACCGACGAAGAAAAATTAAACTTGACTAAAATACACATAAAATTGTCCACTTGAGATAATATTTTACATCATCTGCAAAATCATAATCGAAAATTAAAAATCACTTATTCCAAGGTACAAGAAAAATGGAACGCCCGAAAATCGTACCAAAGCAGTGCATAAAGTGCGTTTAAATACCCGTCTACGTGGTTTCCTCGATTGTTCACTTAAACGCTTAATCGAAACGGCTCCTTCAACCTCGATCAACCATCCGATCTATCGTCCCCCTCCTACGAGCGCGTGCTTTATCGGCGTGCAGCTGCCATCTCGCATTAATTTATTCGCGATTTGAAAAGACGTAGAAATTCATAAAACCCACCCCTGCACTCCGCCTTGTCCCATCGATCGACTGTGTACGCGAAACGCGGCCTCACAATGGCGTCGGCGGCGGTTCCATTGTGTTTGCCGCAGGCCCCCATCGCGCACCCCCTTATGTCGACCCTAGTCCGCGTGGAGACGGGGATCTGTCAAAATCAGCTGACTACCAATTCGTTTGCTCCGTGTCTGCCATTGGCATCGCTTAGCATCTGTCACCTACGACAATTTAACGAAATGAATACCGCGAGGTTCGATCGATTGGCCTTGTTCGTGCTTCGATTTCTCGTTCAGCCGGAGAACTGATCGCGGTACTCGTGAGACTGAACTCTTTGTTTTGGTATGCTTTCTTCTTTTCTTTTTTGTGCACCGTGTACGTGGAGAGTGTAGTTTGGAGTAGGTATGGTTACTTTCAGGCTGCTATTTATTGGGTCGGTATTTGGAAACATTTTTTTAGGGAAATGGGTAGAGAAGATGTGGTGAGTTAGCGATGGGATAGGAAGAATTAAGAAAAAAGGAAAAAGAGACGAAGGATAACTGGAGGAATGTGTGCAATAGGTAGGAGAAGAATGAATGGGTGTGAGAGAGTGAACGAGTTAAGATAATTTTGTAACTTAGAATGGTGAAAAACAAGTCCTATTCTCGGCTATGAGGCTGAGTAAACATGTGTATTTATTTTAGATAGATGGTCAGTGTGTATAATGAAATATCCTATCCTAGTCGAAAATTTTCATTTTATTTACCAAGAAATAAATTAATACCGACCAAATGAACAAAATTGTACCAATTTAACATTGACCAAAATATGAATTTATTTTAAACAAATATTCACCATTAATTGACAAAAATACTGACCAAATAAGTGGAATAAGCCCGCTTTTCTAGCGTTTTTTAAGTGAAATTCAAAGGCGTTGTTTAGATTATTCTACCTTTTACGATCTTTGAGACAGTTTCATGATTCCATACTCCCAGAACTTGGCATCGTTCCGGGCGATTAAATGGCCCATCGGTTTGACACGGTTTAAAATGGTTTGACAAACGCTGCGAACTTCTGTTCCAACCTAATACTTAGGTTAATTGTAAAACTATTAAATTGACTTTTTGTAAACTATTGTAAACTATTCGAAATTACGTGCAACTGCTACGTTACACAAATATTCAGACACTTAGCAAAAATTAATCGCACATTAATCGCAAATTAATGATTGCAATACTTGAAAAAAACTATATCGTGTAAAATAATAAAAAATTGCCGTTGTGATTATTCTTGGAACTTGAATATTTATCACTCGCAAATAATCTCACCGTGGTATCGTTTAATGTCTGTTGAAAATCGATTAGTCACGGCAAATTTAAATGTCACTCAAGAGATCTCCGATTATACTTACATAATCCTAGTATTATAATACCTGCAACGTTCGTTTCGTCGTTACACGTGATACGTAGTGTTAAGCACTCGGGTACTGATTCCGCGTACTTGGAATATTGCACTTGGTGCCGTCTGAAGATTGAATGTATTGCGTTGAGAGTCTGACTGAATCTTCACGATTCCTAATGTAACTGCTGGTCTGTGTACTAACACTCTCTCGTCTTAAGCTAAGCCGGCCTTCTTATCGAGAGTCGTCCCTTCTCCAAATTTTTTAAAATTTGAGGAAGGGACATGAAGGGAGGTTCTTAACCTTTTAGGTACGGTGCGCTCGTCCGCATACTAACACTCTCTCGTCTTAAGCTAAGCCGGCCTTCTTATCGAGAGTCGTCCCTTCTCCAAATCTTTTAAAATTTGAGGAAGGGACATGAAGGGAGGTTCTTAACCTTTTAGGTACGGCGCCGCTCGTCCGCACCCTGGAACGGCCGCGGATGGCACAAAAACCGTTCATGACGATTCTCTGACACGTGTACTCTTCAGCGACAGCTTCGTGTCGTACCGTCCAAATTGGTGCTATCCACGAAAGCCACTATAGTGGCGTACCGTATCTAAAAGGTTAAAATTACTAAATGATCAACCCCGTATCACCCCCTTCCATTGCGCCCGGAGCGCGTCACGTCCTCGGAGCTAGGGTGACGAAGCTGGTCCGTGCTGGACGGAAATTTGGACAACAAGTAGCTCTTCGATGCTTGGAAACGCTGACTCGCGGCAGGGCGAGTCTTATTTATAGGAGAGAAATCAACACGTTTTCGAACTAAAACAATTATTGTATTTCTTAGGCGTGTTTTCAACATAATGTGTTTCTAGGCGTGTTCTCATTAGAATGCGTGTCTAGGCGTGTTCTCGGTAGAAATGCGCTTCGAGCGTGAAAACCTCCGTGCTTTATAGCACGGAGCCGTCCACACCCTACGTGGTGGTGGTAAGTGCGACGCGATACGGAAGACGTCGAGCGATCATCGCTTTTGGCGGCCCATGCGACACAGGACCCAACGCGAGTCCCCTCAAACGAAGAAACACTCGAGCCCTCTCGCCTCGACAACCGTGGTCCCGCTTAAGTGCGACGCGATACGGAAGACGTCGAGCGATCATCGCTTTTGGCGGCCCATGCGACACAGGACCCAACGCGAGTCCCCTCAAACGAAGGAACACTCGAGCCCTCTCGCCTCGACAACCGTGGTCCCGCTTCGGTTCCTCGGGGGATCCCTTTGTCGAAAGCCTTATCGCGACATTGTAACACGGTTCCGCTGATGCCATGCGGCTCGGCTACGCACTCGTCCTGCCGGTCCTGCGTCGCGGTGCTCGGGACCGAACAGGGGGAAAACCCGGCCAGGTCAACTCTGACTCTCCGACTCGTTCGGAAGGTCAGGTACCGAGAGGCCTCGGTAATTGCATCGGTTTCGAAGACTCTTTGGGGGTGACTTTATGACACCTTGCCTTACTGACTGAACAATAGCCTATTCTTTAACACGTTAAACTCCCAGCCTGTTTTGCTTACCGTGTTCCGTTCAGGCCACACTTGGCGCGTCAAGTGGGCCATGCGAACTATAAACAGAAGACGACCAACGAAAAGTATACTGTCAGTCACCTGTGACTGACATGGCGCTTAACGTGTTAATATTTGAGAAATTCTAGGTGTCGCATGTTGGCTGTAGACCGGTCTGCTAAATGAAAAATAACTGTTTGCTGAACTAGAAATCACGTATCATAAAATCATCCCCTTGCTGTCCTCACACGTAGTGAAAATCTTCGTCCGTGGTTTTCACGTGAAACGTAAATTCACAATTTAGCGTGAATTATTGAAACGAACATGAAGCGCGCGGTGTGCTAAATATGCAACAACTCTGGTGATTAACGTTCTATATTTTCATTTCGCTTGCCTGGTTAACATCTGTCGCGTATTACGTAATAAAGATGTCTGGAAACGAACGTTAAAAGCAAATGTTGGTTTACATTGAACGTGCTTGTATTACAAATTAATAGCATCTGGTGATTTTCAGATTTGTTTCCTCTCGTGTTTCTCGTTGCCGAATTGTTCTCGAAATTGACGGTCGCTTATTTTCCCATTCACAACTCCTCGCACCTTTATCTTACGCGTTTCACTGTTTAATCTGTCAGGAAGTAGATGAATTAATTCGAATTAATTTCGAATAAATAATTAATAATTGATTTTTTTTTTAAATTTTAACTGTTTCATATTGACGAATAATTGAATTGAACACTCGAACATTTTCCAGTTGCTAAATTCACTATTTTGAATTTAAATTGATCATTTAGGTAAATTTTTACGAAAGTTCCACGCTTTTTGTAGTAATTTTCATTTAGAAGAACGGTTTTCCTCTGCTCCATACGTTACACTTCCCTTCCACTCTGAGTTATTAATACAGCACACGGTGCACGAACTGTTTACGGTTATACCATTGTCATCGTTGTTTTTCTGGCTATTGAATTTCCGGTCGAGTATCCATCATACCATTAGCCATAATTCACTTTACCCTC